CACAGCGAAGCAAGAACCGAGGTACCCCATTCCAGAAACTTAACAACGGGACTTGCAATTCTTGGGACAGAGATCTTTGGGTCTTAGTTTTATGGATTATTTTAGACAAGTGGCCTCTTGTTGTGACTATTTCTGTGCTACCTCTAGCTTTCACAGAAGTTGGAGTCACCCACACAGACAATTGCCCCATTTGTCCTTTTAAACTTTGAGTCTTGAGAGAGAAAAACCTAAAACAAAATCAGACTAAGATAGAAAATAGAAGTAGAGGAAGACCATTTAAACAAGTTGAAGTTAGAAAACATTGCAACAGTAAAGGAGAGAGCTCAGGGATTAGCAATGCCAGGAGATTCCGCAGCAAACATGCCAGGAAGAGTTTCTACCGACAAATCCTCCTGAAGGAAGTGTTTGAGGGCAGATGGGCAGCAAAGGTGACCTCTGAGCACTGGCTCGGCCACTTACTATGAAAAAACAAAAACATAACAAACAAAAGGATTGCCACCCATTGATTCTGATTGAGGGACACCTTGGTGTTTCAGAGTAGGACTGTGCTCCACAGGGTTTTCGATGTTTGAGTTCTCAGAAGCAGATCGCTAGAATTTTCTTCCAAGGCACCTCAGGGTTAGCAGCCTCAAACATTTACCCTTTGTACCACTCAGAGACTCCTGCCACGTGATGTAATCTGTGCTTAAAGGAAAGAAGAAATGGGCTTCCGTGGTGTGATAGTTACATAATCTGGTGTCAATTTGAGGATTCAGAGTGAAGGAGTAGAGTCTAGCCTGTCAATCAGGTCAGAGCCAATGAGTCCTCTGTTTGGGCATGGCCTTCTCTTGAGGATTCTGGGAACTCTGGTATTCCTTCTTGAAGGTAGGAGACGTTCTCTCTCTCTGCTCACTCCCTGCGAGACATCCATGTGGAAAAGACACATGGAGAGAAGATCCATGTGGAGAAGACACATGGAGAGAGGCTGATAGAGCTAGACCCCCGGAACCAGAGAAGTCACATGGAGACCCCTGCCAGCGCTGCGATGCTTACAATGCCACCGGATCCACCCATTGACCTGCGATCTTCCTGCATTCAGTGTCATTGCATGAGTTTCATGGGTCTGTAGAGGACTTTATAGATTGGTGTCTGACATAGGGGCTAATATCAGACGTATGGACTTGATCTGGGCTGGGATGTTTTCTCAATGTGCAATTGGTCTTGTACATAAAGCTCTCTCTCATACACATAGAGTGTGAATTTGTTTCTTTAGTCTACTTGGACCAGCACACATTGTTTAAAAAAAACAAAACAAAAAACTGTGGTAAGAGGCTTATGAATACTTAAAGTAAGAGCAGGAATAAAGGATAGCCTCCGGAAAGGAATACGTGGTGGTGCCCGACATTGTTCTAAACTTAAGGTAGAAGGTAGAGATACTTGTGGACTTCTTTTTAAAAAAAATCACTTTACTGGGGGCTCATACAACTCTTACCACAATCCACCCATCCATCCATTGTGTCAAGCACATTTGTACATTTGTTTTGAGCCTTTTCCTGTTAGGCAGAAATGGGAACAGCTGTGGGGGCCAGTGGGGCAACACCCTGACGACAGTGCGCAAGGGTGCCCAACAGCTCCCTTGCAAAACAGCCAGGCTGCAATGGACATCCTCAATTGCCTTTGCCTCAGACTAGTACTATAAACCCTTCCTCTCTGTCCCAGACAGCACCACTTCACATGTCCCCAACTGGGGACCTCACCCAGGAGCTCTGAAATAAACCTTTAAAATTATTTTCTGCCTTTGCCTTCTTTCTTTCTTTCTGTTGGCAAAACCACCTTACGTTGCCTTCAAAGGCCTCTAATATGTGCCTGATTTCTTCCAAACCCCTGTATTTGTGGCAGGACCAGCTAACTTTTATTTAGCATAGGCTTTCGGTGGAGACAATGCTTTTTTCCCTAATCTTCTTGCCCGTCAAAAACATCAGGGAGGGTGGGGGATGGAAGGGGGAAAATGAGGAGCTGATACCAAGGGCTCAAGTAGAAAGAAAATGGTTTGAGAATGATGATGGTAACCAAAGTAAAAATGTGCCTGACACAATGAATGGATGTATGGATTGTGATAAGAGCTGTATGAGCCCCCAATAAAATGATTGAAAAAACATAAGGAGAAATCCCAATCCTCTTTGCATAATGTCAATTTTTGTATGAAGACCTCATTTCTGAACTGCACTATGTTGACACGAGAAACCAAGCTCAAACTCACTACCACTGAGTCAATGCTGACTCATAGGACAGGATAGAACTGCCCCGTGAGTTTTCAAGACTATAACTCTTTATGGGAAAAGAAAATTGTGTCTTTCTTCTGTGGAACTGCTGGTAGTCTCAAACTGCTGACCTTGCAGTTAGCAGCCCATTGGATAACCACCACACCACCCAGGCTCCACATTGAAATGAAAGAAGTGTGTAACTCTTTAAGGTCACCTACGGGGATTCAGTGGAGCTCTCTCTGACCCCAAAGTTAGTAAGGCTTATTACCATGGTTACAATGACTTCCCTAACAAGTTGGTTTGGGTTGGTGCCAATGTATAAGACAATCCCATTCTTGGGTGGTCAGAGCCTAGGTGACAAGCCACATCCCTGTCTGAGCACTTCTGCCTCTGGTGGAAGTATAGCTTGAGCTACTACTGGCTTTAGGGTCTAAAAGGAGCTGAGTGAAGGACTCGCGGTCTCCTTAGCTATGGTGCTCAGTGGAGCACACAGAGCAGAAGTGATAGGGACAGGCAGGGACTTCTGCTAAGGGAACGAACAAAGGACCCTGTGAAACAAGTGACAAACAAGACTGTAAGAACTAGCTTGGTAAATACCTTCTACCTTGAAGCCAGGCCCCAGCTTGGGACAGGATTGTACCCGAAGATCATTCTTAGATGTGCTGACTCAAAGCAGCACCCCAGATAAAGCGGAAAGACCCGATGTATGAGACCCAGGAACAAACTGAGGAACAGATGAGAAAGTTGTCTGGCCATCTGGAGAGTGGCAACCCCCACCCCTTTGAAAGTCCCATATAAAAGCTAGAAGCATTCCCCCTGGACAACATCTTCCCTCAGCTCGAGAAGAGGGGTTACCCACTTCGCCTCCAGAGCAACGTGTTACCTTTTCTGTGCCTAAGGTGTCCTCTAACTCACGAGCGGTGACCTGCTTCATCTCTTTTGGAGTGACTCTTGTGGCTGCTCTGGTGTGTATGTGTGAGTGTGGCTTATCTCTGGACTGTAATAAACCACCTGGGTTCTGAGCTAGTTCCCCTATGGACGACAGCCCAGGAACTGAAACTCACAAGAAATGTATAGCCCACCAGAATACAATTCTTCACTTCTTGTACTTTGGACATGCTACCTAGAGCAGGATGCCATGCTTGCTGACGAGGAGGGTCCTCAATGAAATGGAGCTCAAGCTAAACAACTATTGTGGGGATGACGCAAGACTGAGAAGTGTTCCACTGTGCTGTACATGGATGGGTTCGCTGTGAATCAGCACCCACTCAGTGGCATCTAACAACAACAAAGAGGCCTACATGTCCTGGGGGTGGGTGATATAGACAGAAGGTAGACCCCTTGGATCCCTCCTCTATGATGCCATGGAGGCATGTGAGGGAAAGCTCTCCACCTCCTCTGTAGAGTTACTAGAGGCATAGAGGGAACTCTTGCCTGCTTGCTTCCCTGTGCAAGCACTGAAAGCTATTTCCCACGTTAGGTACTGGGGTGGGGACATCCAGGTGTTCATCTAGGGCAGCAGTTCTCTCCCTGTGGGTCACAACCCCTTTCACAGGGGTCGCCTAAGACCATCGGACAACACATATTTCCGATGGGCTTAGGACCCAAGACACTGCTCCTCTATCCATCTCCAGGCAGGTCTGCCCACATGCAGATACACCCACATACGAGTACCCGGCGTGAAGATGGTTACCCATGCTACATCATGCTTCAAGACAAAATTTCATTTCTTTGTCTTTAGAAATAAATATTTCACAATATATAATTATATATTGTTTTGTGATTAATTACTATGCTTTAATTATGTTCAATTTGTAACGATGAAAATACATTCTGCATATCAGATATTTACATTATGATTCATAACTAGCAAAATTACAGTTATGAAGAATCAACGAAAATAATTGTATGGTTAGGGGGGGTTCACCACAACATGAGGAACTGCATTAATGCTGCAACCCTCACTGCTACTGAGTAGATTTTGAGTCTATAGGACAGAGTAGAATTGTCCCTGTGGGTTTATGAGACTGTAACTCTTGAGAGAGTAGAAAGCCTCATCTTTTTCCCTCAGTGTAGCTGGTGGTTTCAAACTGCTGACCTTGCCATTAGTAGCCCAATGTAGCAACCCACTACACCACCAGGGCTACTGGGAATTGTATTCCCCAACGACTGGGGGCTGAGGGTGGGTGGGTGGGGGCGCTTCAAAAACTGCATTTAAACATTTTAAAATTATTTTTTAGTTCCATTTTTCCATTCCTTTTTTTGAAGCCTCTACTTATGTGTTGTTAAATTGAAATCCCTGTATTTATGAATATAATCCCATTTGGGAATAGGATTTTCTTTTTACGTTACGAAGATCCTCTCAGTATAGGGCATAACAAATCATCTGCCTCTGAGATATAAAACCCACAGTTTAGGCACAGAGAAGCCAACACGCCTGAGGATCGATAAAGGCCGGCCACGTGAAGATGGGAAGTCTCAGAAGCCGTCAATAGACAAAGCCCTTTCCCTGGATGTGACAAAGAGAGAAAACCTTCCCCTACAACGGCAACGCTGAATCCGGATGTTTAGACCCTGAGACCATGAAAAAGTCCATTTAAAGGGGGGCGGGGCGGGGGGCGTGGCCTGCGCAGCGCGCAGGAGGTGACCACACAGTGCCCGCCGCGCGCGCCCGGCGCTCTAAGCAGAGACGCCGCCATCCCTGCCCCTGCGCTGGACTGCCCCTCGCCCCCCGCGCCTCCTCTCTCCACCGGCACCATGGCCGATCAGCTGACCGAAGAGCAGATTGCCGAGTTCAGGGAGGCTTTCTCCCTAATCGATAAAGATGGCGACGGCTCCATCACAAGAAAGGAGTTTGGAACTGTCCTGAGGTCCCTGGGTCACAACCCAACCGAAGCTGAGCTGCAGGATATGGCCAACGAGGTGGACGCCGAGGGTCAAGGCACCATTGATTTCCCAGGGTTTTTGACCGTGATGGCTCGAAAAATGAAAGACACGGACAGCGAAGAAGAAATCCGCAGGGCATTCCGAATCTTTGACAAGGATGGCCGTGGCCTCATCAGTGTGGCCGAGCTGCGCCACGTCATGACCAACTTAGGAGAAAAACTAACAGACGAAGAAATAAATGAAATGATCACAGAAGCAGACATAGACGGCAACGGAGAAGTCAACTATGAAGAATTCGTACGGAGGATGATTTTAAAATGAGGACCTACCTTCAACTCCTTTATCCCCCCCCCCCCCCCCGCCCCCCAAGAATCAAATGGAATCTTTTACTTCCCTCTTGAAAAAAAAAAAAAAGTTCATTTATTCATTGTTTGTGGGCAGCAAAACGGAATGTCAAAAAGTACCTTGCAGGACTGGGACAATGCTAAGAAGCTGTATCTGCTCTAAACAAGTATAGTGCTGTTTCTCCAATAGCTAAAATTCACAGTACTGGGAATCAAGGTGTGGAAATGTGTTGGTCCCCAACAGTTGAATGGATCCTTAGGATCGACTTTGCAATTATGGAAAATAATAAAGACAGACAGACGCGGGGCACAGGGGCTCCTTGTTCCTATGTCAGGACCAAGAAAGTGAATGTATTGTATTTTCCAATGGTATATGTAATGGGGCTTACAGATCTTTCAAAAGACATGCACGTCATACAGCGAACATATTATCTAGTCAACGGGTCATATCATAAGCAGGTAACATAATGAACAAGCAATGAGATGAGTCATCTTGACCTAGTGCTCGTTGACGTCAGACACCCGTAACCTCCTGGGGGGGGGGGGGGAGTAATCTATCATCAGTATCAGCAAGAGATGTCAGAAGAGGGTTTGCTATATTTTAGGGTGGGTTGGGCTACAGAACCTGATTGCTCTTATCTACAGGTAACCTTCAAGCATAGTGAACAGCCAGACACAGGTAAGAGACATCTTTTATGGTAGCTCCTTTATGACTTCTCTGTAATGGAGGGCTATTCTGGGAGGGGTGGTGGTGCATTTTCAGTCTGGAGAGTGTGTATTAGAAAACAGTTCTATCTTGGAACAATGGAGATCTTTTTCAAAACAGGGCTGGTGTGAGCATAGAAATAAGGCCAAATACACTCAACCAAGTCCTCAGTTTACCACAGAAAAGGTACACTGCTCACCATTACCCCTAGTGGCATACTTGAAAAGTATTTGCTTCCTGACCACCCTATGCTCTCTGGGTCTGAAGGCTTTTTTTTCAAAGAGAGGAATATTCTCTCTTGGAGACACAATATTGCTTCCATTTAACTAGAAGTTAAGAATTTCACCTGGCTATTTTGGACTTCTCTTGCCTCTGGATCAATTGGCAAAGAAGGAAGTTAACTGTATTAGGTGGTGTAATTGATTCTGATTACCAAGGGGAACCCCAACTGATAGGACATGGTGGAAGTGAAGAAGAATGTGTTTAGGATACAGGAGATTCCTTATGACATCCTTTAGCACTACTTCGTGATTAAAGTCAATGGAAAACCAATGTTAGATACCGTAGATTTGGTTCTGATTCACAGCGACCTGACCCCATGTGCAATAGAACAAAACACTTGTTTTCTGTGCTTCATGATTGCTCTTATGTTTGAGCCCATTGTTGCAGCCATGTGTCAATATATATCTTATTGATGGTTTTTAGTCCTCAGAAACAAATCCAGACACTCATATTTGTGTGAGAGAACTTTATATCAAAGAGCAATTGTATATTAAGAAAATAACCCAGCCCACTTCAGATCAAGTTCATAAGTCCAATATTAGCCCATATGTCCAATACTAGTCCATAAATTCCTCTTCAGACTCACCCAGCACATGCAATGATGCCAAATGAAGGAAGATCACAGGCCAGTGGGTAGAAAGTCTTATGGCTCCAGTAGTGGTGGAAGCATCTCCAGGCCTCTGGCTGCCATCGGCATGGCTCCATGGGAAGGTGAAGGAGTAAGAGAAGAGAGAGAGAGAGAGAGAGAGACTGGCCTCCACTGAGCTATTTATCTCTATCGTGCCTCCAAAGGAGGTCATCAACCTGTGACCTGATTGACAGGCTAACCTCTTCCCTTTCATTCTTAATCCTGAAGTTGACAAGAGATTATGTAACTACCACAATGGTCTTCCTCTACTGCCCCGCTACTTTACCAAGCATGATGTTCCTTTTCCAGGGACTGGTCTGTCATAATATGTCCAAAGTATGTGAGACACAGTTTTTCCATCCTTGCTTCCAAGGAGCATTCTGGCTGTACATCTTCTGTTTTTAATGTATTGAAAAAGTTTATATTTAGTATTAGCTAACTGGACTCAGTTCAGATGATTCCAGTTTTGTGGGTAAGATCTAAATCGTCATAGTCAGGAGTCAGTGGGACATATTCCTTCTTGCCATCAGGTCTAATTAAGATGTTGACCTTGACTACATCAGTGTCATAGAGCTTCTTCACAGCCTGTTTGATCTGGTACTTGTTGGAATTGACATGCACAATGAACACAAGTGTGTTGTTATCTTCGATCTGCTTCATGACAGACTCTGGTCTTGATGATGGCATAGTAGTTAAGCTTGTTTCTCCTGGGGATGCTCTTCCATGGCCCTTTGGCTGCCATCTTAGCCTCAGGTCTTGGGCTGCCGGAAGGTCGGTGATGTGAGGATCTTATTATTATCGGTGATGTGAAGCTCTTATTATTTGTGGCTGTGGATGCCTTTCAGCCTTTAACGACTTTGCTTTGGTCTCAATTTGGAGGTGGGGGGCAGGGGCTTTCATCTTTGCCTTCAGCTCCATCTTCATAAAAAGCGTCTCCTAGGCTCCTGTGCTTTTTTTAAAAAAATCGTTTTATTAGGGGCTCATTCAACTCTTATCACAATCCATACATACATCAATTGTGTAAAGCACATTTGTACATTCATTGCTCTCATCATTCTCAAAACATTGGCTCTCCACTTAAGCCCCTGGCATCAGCTCATTTTTCCCCTCCCT